CCCAGTCAAGGCATTAAATCTTATCACAGCGTTGCCGCAGTCATTGCGAGAAGTGCTAGATTCGACTTCGTGCGTGGCTTGTTGCAACGAAAACTTCGCGAGCGGCATTCTTTTCCAGGTGTTAGGCAGTTTCTCTAGCTAGTCTTCGTACTCCCAAGCATGGCGCGGCTCAAAACCTAATATCAGTAGCCAGTATCTGTCCCTTTGTACCTAGGTCCTGGGCAGGGAGTGATGAGCTCTAAACTTCAGCTCGCGATATAGTCACGTGATACGGGTCAGCGGATACCCTGTTTTAACAGGTGTCAATAGACCATTACATGGATGTCCAATTTAAAAAATGTACGCTGTAAATCAAGGCTGCATGTCTCGGTCAACTATTACCATGGCCGCCATGTTGTGCGACTTCTGGGTTAGGGTTAGGGTTAATGTTGCGCGACTTCGTCGTCGTGCGCACGATCCCACGAGCAATACCGCTAGCCATGGCGACCAAGAGAAAAGCAGTTCGTGGATTCCAATGAGAATGGTGCTCCGCTATTTTGTCTAGAGCAAACCTCAACGTTGTTTTTATAGAAAGAAGGTTGGGCTTCGCGGGGTCTATCAACGGACCCCTGGAGGGATTTATTGCGCGAGTGCTTCGTTTCAACCGCGAGGAGAATGAGAATTAACAAAATTGCAAAGTTGGTTGCACGACAAATTTCCCAGTGTAGCAGCACCTCAACAGTGTTCTGTAATGTGATATTTTTTCCCCAACTTGAACTGAACTGAACTTGAACTGAAAAGGTTACGTTTTAGAAACAAAAGAGTCAAAACTAAATCTGAAAAAAAAAATCTGAAAATAAATCTGAAAATAAAAAATTAAACATTTCGCCACCTCTTACACCCATCGAGGACACTCACAAACATTGGGGTCCTGAGACTGCAAAGTGCGGACTGGAAATAATTTTCGTAATTCCCGCCAAAATGCTCCAAAATTTCCATGGTTCATTATGTACGTGAAAGGGCTCCTGTGAAATTTCTTGACGAGGTAATGTATTCCAACGGCATAATTTAAAACTAAACACTGAACCATGTTAATTTGCTCCAAACTGGTACTTTTTAACTTTTATTCGGTTTCCAGAAGTTCTTTCAATGGACCAATTTCATCTTTAATATGGTGTATAGACTGGAATGTATGTATACGCTTACAAAAATACGTCAAAGTTGACAAATCATTTATTATACATTTACGTAATTAACTTTAAAACACTAATAACTGTGCAGTGACGAAGGACCTCCTCAAGTGGATAATGAATTGTCATCTTTGGGAAAATATGACGTGAAAAAAAAAAAATGCGGCATACATGTTCATTCAGCCTTCTATGTAGCATGAAAAAGTCCATTTCATTGCAAGCCACAGAAACTACTATAATTACTGAAATCAATCAATGCCATGTCTTGGTTCGTCACCAAACAAACAAGGCACGATTTTACGTAATGTATTCATGTGAAGTTCTACTATTGCTCTTAAGATAGCAACGTTAATGTTATTACTGGAACAGCCTTCTCATGCTTTACTCATGAAGGTTCTGTAGAAAACAGCGGCAACAAGTAATTGTAAAAGTAAAGGTGAACCTCGGTTACTGTTACAATCTGAGATGCCCGGAAACACTCACGTGGTACAATACGTTCAAAAAAAAGGTTAAAAAAAAAAAGGTTCAAATGTTGTTTTTAGTGGTCAATGCGCTTAGCTACACCCAGCTAGTTGTACACGGAATTCTATTACAAGGTTTATACAGAAGCTGACATAAGGGAGACATATCACTTGTGCCATTGTTTATTTACATGTAGAAGCAATTGAAGTGCAAAGCAACAACATTTATTGTAAAATTATAGTTAATGTAAAATACTTTGCCATTCATTTAATTAAGCATATTCATTTAATTAAGCATGTTGACATGGGGGCTCATACAGAAATTCTTCAAGAACGCGCCTTCTGTAACGTGTATACCAAACCAGTAAATAGTGTCTTTGGCTTTTTTAGCAGCTCCACTCCGGTATTACGTGAATGTTACTTGATAATTCTTTTACAGTGGAGACTACCATTAATTAAAAAACAGTAATATTTTCACTCTAGTATTCACTGGTGTGGTGTACATTACATGTAAAACAGTGTATATTGAAATGTGAAGTTGGTAAATGATTGAGAACATTCATCAGGTATTCTCCATCATTCACCAACTCACAGTCTTTTGATGCACCTATCCCCAAGGGAAAGTCTATCTCAAGAGAGAAAAACATGCACAAGAAAATACCACCTGCACACGCTAGTTCAATAGACACAGCCAGCCATGTGAACATCAGGTGTTACTACAGCCACTTTCTTTTGGAAACAACAAAATCTTGCTTAGAAAGTTTCTTTATTTACCCCAATAATGGAATTAGTCTTCAGTGGCAGTAGAAAGGAGCATGAGCTTCCACTCTACATGTACCTCATTTAATAATCAACAATCCTGACAATTACACTTAGGTACCATCTTGCTCTAGCTACATGGAACTTAAGCCTACTTTCTACATAATTGCTGTTAGCAACACAGCTGAGCACTTGTGCCACTAAATTCCTGTTTCATTTTAAATGTCAACTGATAAGTACGAACACAAACGTGACCTGAAGGCATGCCACCGCCAATTTTCTCCTCTATCATTTACTCATCTTTGCATAACAGCCTAAGTCACCTTGAACATACACAAACTCTTCTCTGTAATTCACCTCACCAACAGGTTATGAACGATTGTTACTAAAGTATCAAATTCGCAAGAATGAGCTGGCAGTGCACAAGAGATAATATACCAAATCGCTGTCAACAAAACAAGATACCATGTACATGTGCCTTTTCAAAATCACATTTTTCATGCATCAAGGTTGATACACAGAATACAATGGACAATGCTTCAAGCAGCCCAGAATTAATAATACTAATAATTATAATAATCAGTTCTGAGACATTTAACAAAATTTCATTAGTAGCATTTCTCGAGTTCCAAAATATATGCAAATAAGCTTTTGCTTCCCTATGATTGCTACATCATGACTACATCATGACATACTACGAATAAAGATGACAGTGACTTCTGAGCTCCTTACTCTTACTACAGAACATGACTGCCAAAGGGTTAACACTAATCTCTGCACCCTGATCTTGTGTCTTATATGCCACATGAAATATGAAATCCAAGAATATGTTCAGGCTGTTCAAAAGCACAGTTTTGACATACATTTGTGTGTATTGACTGAATCCTGTCAACAATAGATCTTTCCCGCATTCCAACAAACAATAGCATCGAGTCGAGGTCAGGGTGGACAAAAATACACCAAATGTATGAAAACGTCCACCCCAACCTCGCTCTGGTGCTATTATTCGAACGCAATGAAGTGGAATGCGGGAAAGGTCTATTCCATGCAGCTGAGAGGAATATCAGTTGACAGTTCAACAATCTAACATTCCCCCAACACTCTGCTTCACTCAATTATTAGTACTTATTTGATCTTAATTTCTGAGAGCAATCAACACCCAATTTCTCCTCACAATACCACACAAAATACAGGTGCACAGTTTGAGAGAATTGTTTTCAAACTGATAAACACCAAAGAAAAAATTAACTTGATATTTAAACAAATTCTCCCAACCAGTACATCATGAAATGCACGGAAATCAGAAATGGGAATTTGCATGTTGATGCTAAGACTTACAATGTACAAGCATGCAGGGGATACCATCTCACAAGTGTACACATGTGAGTTGGTGTGCTCTTAAAGGAAACGTATACATTGTCTTTTGAGGGTCCTTTCAATTTTGCAATGCATTTACACCATTAAAAATCACTGAAAGTTGCTCAACATACAGTGAAGTCCCACATTTAACAGCATTTCAACACAAATTAAACAATAAATTTTCCAGTCTTTGTTCTAGACTATTCATTTCTAACATTAATATGCTAATGATGAAATATGCAATACCTTTGAAGAAAGGTCTTGCTTGTAGTAAACAGAAGGACTTACAGTCCAATATGTATTTCTGCAACAATAGACTAAAACTTCTGTAATCTAAGCATTACAACATTGAACTTTCTTTTTATGGTCAGCCTCTGTGGTAGGAGATACAGTAATAGTCTGCACGTTGTTACTTGGTTGGTTTCCATCTGAACCTGGGGAATCGTGGATTTGCTTTTGGGATACAATGTGGTAGATTTCTGAACGATAAAAATATATAAATATCATAATTAAATAATATTGACAAATTGTTGACTCTAGGAACTTCAACATGTTCAAGATAAAGTTGCAGGCTAATGGCTGATTGAGAATTGTATGTAGTGATCACATTATCCACAAACACCACTTGCATTTTATCAAGTTTCAGATATGAACAAAACACCTGCTGTAAAGTTAAAAAACCTCATTACTGCATGTCTGTTACAAAGCCTTAGCATTAAACATTGTAAACTTAAAGCAATGTACAAGTTACAAATACAACAGCTGTATGTTCAAAGTACTAAATTTGTAATGGTCAATATAGTAAACATGGCTACATTTAGGACCACACAATCACTCTATCACACATTACAAATAAAGAAACTGCCAACATATTGGAAGCCAAAGAGAGACAAAAATATGAAACAAGATGTCATTGACTGGGTTGAAGATAAAACTTAGCTTTCAATTGATAAATGTATCAAATTTGATCACTTTAAGCACTTTGTCCGTCAACTATACTGACCTGTTAGAATATTGTGAAATGCCACCTCCACATTTGTTGAATCTAGCGCTGATGTTTCAATAAATGAAAGACCATTTTTTTCTAAAAGTAGTCAAAAAGATAATCATAATTAATGATTACTTTTACCATAAAATTTACATGTAACAGCATCACACACGATGTTCATGTACATTAATGATAATCAATTGCTACAACTACATGTACAGCACAATGTACAGTTAAACTTATTTTATGCTGATAAAAACTAGAGAAGCCAAATTACATTCAAGATAGTGCCTGCTAGATTGCTCATGCACAGTGTTCATGAGATATGGCCAACACTGCCACAATGATAAACAATGTTAACAAACAAGTCAAATTTACAAGCACCATAAATGTACAAAAAAATAAATTATCAGGCAAAAATACAGTTTGAAAATGTTGCACTCAATTTCTGATCTCACCCAACTCTTGATTTCAGTTATATGTGGTCTGCTTTCTGCAGGTTAGTTAATTCTTTTTTTCAATTTATCTCTAGTCCACACTTATTACCAAAAGTGGCAAGAAAAGTACAGTCAAACCCCTATTAAGGTGGCTCCCTACAGTTTTACAATCAAAGGCACGCTGAGGACTAAAGTTTTAGTAATCTGGCACACTAAAAAAAAAGGTCTAC